CGTTTTGAGCCTCCAGTAGGTAAAAACTCAGTAAAAACCTAAAGTTCTTCTAATACTTAAGAGTTTAAATTCCACCTCATGCAGCAGTGGCAACAAGCAAGGGGGTCGTGTCCTGTGCACACTTCTCTGTACTGATTGGGATGATCCGTCCAGCGCTCATTACGTTACACGCCTATTGGATCCATTTTTATCTTACATGCAGATAAGCAGTAGCCACAAAACAAAACCATTTTAAGTAAAACACACACACACACACACACACACACACACACACACAACAACCCTTTCCCATTTTTCCTCATCACAAGTTCATTTAAAGCTGTTTGGGTTCTGTAGCGTTGTCATAACAGATGACCATAAACTGGGTGACTTCAGAACTTTCTCAGATTGTGGAGGCGGGAGGTCCCAAATCAAGATAGCGGAGGGTTGTGCTTTTGCGCCATCCTGGTGGCTTCCAGCCTCGGGCAGCCCCGGGTGCTCTTTTGCTGGTGACGGTGTAATTCTGGTCACCGCACCCCATCCTCATGTGGCCGCCGTCCCCGCACGTCCCTGACTTTGCATGGTATCGTCCTCTTAGAAGGCCACCAGCCAGATTGGATTCGGGCCCGTCCTACTGACTTCATGTTAACTGGGTTACACTCGCAAAGATCCTATTTCCAGGGAAAGTCACATTCATAGGTAACCAAGAGTTAGACACAGTGTAACCCACGACGAGGCCGTCGTAGTGAGTCCAGCACTTACAGGGCGATCCCGGCCGCCCTGTGGGGGGTGGGTGGGCAGGAGGCTGCGGCAGCCAGTGGAGGGGAGGGGGACGCCCCTCACCCCGTTTCTCTTGGTTTATCTGAAGCTCTGCTCCGGCACTGGAAACCTATTTAATTTTTCTCTCAGTGCAGTGCGAACATTTCACATTTTCTGCCCATCCATAGTTTACCCCTGGGAACTTGGGGGCCCTTTCTCCTCCTGCCTGGGGAGAGAACAGAAATCAGAGACATCACCAAAGCTGTGCTTTGTTAAAGTCTTCTCGCTCAGACAGCACGGCCCAAAGCAGCAGTTTACCCAGTGTACCAGCGCCCCTGGGGACGGACCTCGGTCACCTTACCTCAGTCACCTCTAGCTTCATGACAGACAGCAGCTCAGCTGTCTCTCCACACTTCTCTGCATACATGTAGCTTCTGCTGTGTTCCAGGGAGGCGGGGGTGTTCTAGCAAATTCCACCCCTGATGCCAACTGTGCCTGGAGTCCCCCAAGACCACCCTTGTGTCCTGCGAGTAGGACCCTCGTGACTTAGCATATAGTTTTACTTTTGACTGTGGTGTGTTACGATGAAAGAGCACACGGCAGAGTCGCAGAGGGAGCAGGCACATGGGACAGAGTGTTCTTTGCCGGTGGAGTCGCACGGAGCGCACCCAGAAGCGAGTCGTGCCAACACGTGGAATGGTGTCTACCAGGGAGGCTTGGTGGGGACCCGGCGCCTGGGATTTTTACCCCGGACTCGTTGAGTATTGACAGTGTCACATGCACGCAGTTTAGACACCGTGGGTGAGATCAGTCAGGCCGGCGTGCAGCCTGAAACCCACATTCCCAAACACCAGCCTTGCAGTCGCGTCTACGAATACGGTTGAGGCCCCTGAGGCACGTTTCCTGCACACTAGGTGTGGGGACTCACCACAGGGAGCACTGCAGTAACTGAGACCAGCGCCGCTGCTCGGGGCACTCCCGATGCTCCCTGTGCCCGTCACAGGGGTTCCCCGTTCATCCGCTACCCTGTTGAACAGGTAAATTCTGGCAGCAGAATTGCTGACTGAGAGTATTTTCTCCTGCTCGTGCATGTCGGTGGGTTGATGAACTTTTTATAAAACCAGGGTTTCAGGGAAGCATGCAGCTCGGTGGGTCCTGTGCTCTCAGGGGTTGGCCTGCCTTGCTCAGGTGCCCAGCAGGGGAGGGACAGGGGAAGGAGAGCCATTGTGAGCAGAGCCTCTGGGATGATGTATGGGGGCGGGGGGTGGGGGGTACTTTTACCTGCAACTTGATATGCGGGAGCGTTTCATTTGTAGGAAGGCACTGCCTAATCCGATCTGTGTTTTATTATCAAGGGCACACTCACTGATGGGTGTTTTTGACTTCAGTCAACTCCCTGGCGGGATGGGACTCTTAAGCCTCGGGGTCAGCAGGAGTTCTCTTCCATGTTTCTGGTGGAAAGAGCCGTTTTTGCCATCATATAACATTTGCCGTGGGGGTGGGGGTGGGGCAGTCGCACGGAGACTGCAGTCTGGGGAATGAATGGATGCAGGTCTGAGTTCTCATGCCTGTTTCCTCTTTCCTGAGCTCTGACTTCCCAGTAACTTTCTCTCCTATTCCCGTATGACGCAAATACACTAACAATACTTCTTCAAGAGAATTGTATCATTTAGCCAGTAGGACCTGTCTCCTTAGGGCCTGGAGTTCTTTAAAATGTTGTGGTTATGGGGTTCCTGGGACGCTCAGTTGGTTAAGCGCCGACTTCAGCTCAGGTCATGATCTTACGGTTCGTGGGTTCAAGCCCCGCATCAGGCTGTGTGCTGGCAGCTCAGAGCCTGGAGGCTGCTTTGGATTCTGTGTCTCCCTCTCTCTGCTCCTCCCCTGCTTGTGCTTTGTCTCTATCTCTCAAAAATGTATGTTTAAAAACATTAAAAAAAAAAAAAAAAGGATGCTGTGGTTATCTGGCCCCTGCTGCAAGTTGGACTCCAACAAGGCTCTCAGGAAGGAAACGTTCCCAGCCCTTGAGTGTGTTCTTATAAACCTCATCCACGTTTGACCTGGGGCTTGACGTGGTGCGTCATAGGGAAGGAGCCAAAGTAGTTTGTGTCCCAAGGGATTGGTGGGTCTTAAAATGCAAATATTTGTTTCATTTGGAGAGCATTTCTGTGAATTCTCCAAAGTGGTCCGAACCCTTTGGTTAAAGGAGAATGAGACTTGACATGGTTGTAGTTCGAGTGTAAAGATAAGTTCGTTTGCATGAGTGGGACTGTTAAGTATGTGAGGATGTAAGTGTGGACTGAGTAAGAGATCTGATGATGGAGTAGAGAGTGGATGCTAGTGGCCACAGAGCTGCGTTTGAACTTCCTGTGAATTGAACCCAGTTGTTCTGTGAGTCTCAAACTTTCCTTCTGCACGTATGTTGGCTGTTTCAGGACTCCGTGGTCTTTGAGGATGTAGCCGTGGACTTTACCCTGGAGGAGTGGGCTCTGCTGGATTCTGCTCAGAGGAAGCTCTACAGAGATGTGATGCTGGAGAACTTGAAAAACCTGGCCTCAGTGGGTAAGAATGACCTCGTTCCTCCAATTAGTCATTTAGAGAACAAGCATTTCTTACACATCAAGCCTGTTTCAAGACCTGGAATGTGGAAAGGGAAGACATGAATTAGTAAGACAAGGTCACAACAACCAGGGGGCTAGAATCTTACAGTGGCTGCATGAGAATGAGAATCTGTATTAACGTGATTGTTTGTCTTTCTATAAAGAAAGCTCCCTTTGTGTCATCAGAGAATATAGATTTTATGGGTCATTAAGGAGCCAGCGAAGTTTATGTAATCTTATGAGACTTCAACTGCGTTCATTAAATTGGTTACCATTTTGAGCCCTTGTACTTGTTATTAGTGAAATCCCAACACAACTGAACTCCTCAGTGTCATTTCAACTAACAAGCACCTTCTTCCTATAAAACTTTTGTTCCCTTTTTGCTTTCAGATGATGAGACTCAATTTAAGGCCAGTGGGTCAGTTTCTCAGCAGGATGCTTATGGGAATAAAATATCCAAAGAAAATAAATTGGCAAAGTTCACCAGAAATGAATCCTGGGCCTCTGTTTTAGGGAAAATTTGGGAAGAACTTAGCACGGAAGATCAGCCCACAAACCAGGGGAGACAGCTGAGGTGAGTTCACTCACAAGAGAAAGCAGTATTCCAGGAGAGAACCCTAGTATGTCATGAAATTTAAAAAGCAAAGAAAACAAAACACCCACAGGAGCCTAGATCAAATTTGTTTACTCACAGAATTAAAAAAAATTTTTTTCCTTAAATATGATGTTAATGTTGAGTGTTAGAAACAGAATTCAGTTGGAAACAATTAGGAGGAGAAGCCCATGTTTAAGAAACTGTTTTCAGGGCGCCCAGGTGGCTCAGTCAGTTGAGCATCCGCTTTTGGCTCAGCTCATGATCTCATGGTTCGTGGGTTCAAGCCCTGCGTCGGGCTCTGTGCTGACAGCTCGGAGCCTGCTTCGGATTCTGTGTCTCCCTCTCTCGCTGCTCCTCCCTCCCTCATACTCTGTGTATGTGTGTCTGTCTCTCAAAAATAAACAAACATTAAAAAAAAAAAAAAAAAAGGAAAGAAACTGTTTCCATCATGCCAATGGTTCAATCCCCTCCCATGATATTCACTTTACTCTGCTTTATTGTTTAGGGTAGAGAGCCTACACGTTCACTGAAAGTGATGAAAATGTAATCGTTTTTTTAAAAAAATGTTTACTTATTTTTGAGAGACAGAGAAAGACAGAGTGTGAGCAGGGGAGGGAAGGGGGGGGGGGGACAGAGAATCTGAAGCAAGCTCTTGGCTCTGAGCTGTTAGCACAGAGCCCGACATGGGATTTGAACCCATGAACCATGAGATCATGACCTAAGCCAGTCACACGCTTGACTGAGTCACCCAGGGCCCCCTGAAAATGTAATCCTAATAGTCGCTAGTATAAATTAAGAAATCATTAATCAAACTGTTGATAACATGCTTCTCCTTAACAGAAATCCTGTGGAGAGACTCTCTGAAAGTAACGATCAGAACAGGGAAGGCTCCAGTCAGATTCCAAATCTTAATCTGAATGAAAAAACTCTCCGCAGAGTTAAAGAGGATGAATGCAGTGCGTATGAGAAAGTCTTCCTGCGCCACTCCTCCCTCAAGAGTCACATCGCCCTGCACAGTGGACACAAAGCGTATCTGTGTCAGGAGTGTGGGCGGGCCTACGGCTGTCGTGCACACCTAAAGTTGCATGTGAGAACCCACAGCGGAGAGAGAACCTACACGTGTAAATTATGTGGGAAAAGCTTTCCTCGTACCTCTTCCCTCAACCGGCACATAAGGATTCACACTGCTGAGAAAACCTACGAGTGTCAGCAGTGTGGGAAAGCCTTCATCGATTTCTCAAGTCTTACCAGTCACGTGAGAACTCACACTGGCGAGAAGCCCTATAAATGTAAGGAATGTGGGAAAGCCTTCAGCTACTCCTCAACTTTCCGGAGACACATGATAACGCACACTGGCGAGAAGCCCTATAAGTGTAAGGAATGTGGGGAATCCTTCAGCTACTCCTCAACTTTTCGAAGACACATGATCTCACACACGGGGGAGACCCCCCACAAATGTAAGGAGTGTGGAGAAGCTTTCAGTTACTCCTCAGCTTTCCGCAGGCATATGATCTCACACACTGGAGAGAAGCCCTACGAATGTAAACAATGTGGGAAAACCTTCATTTACCTGCAGTCCTTCCGGAGACATGAAAGGATTCACACCGGAGAGAAACCCTATGAGTGCAAACAGTGTGGGAAAACCTTCATTTATCCCCAGTCCTTTCGAAGGCACGAAAGGACTCACGGTGGACAGAAGCCCTATGAGTGCGGCCAGTGTGGGAAAGCCTTCAGCCATCCCTCGTCCTTTCGAGGGCACATGAGAGTGCACACTGGGGAAAAGCCTTACGAATGCAGTCAGTGCGGCAAAACTTTCAATTGGCCCATCTCCTTACGAAGACATATGAGGACACACAGCAGAGAGAAACCCTATGAGTGCAAACAGTGTGGGAAAGCCTTCAACTTATCTGCTTGCTTTCGAGAGCACGTGCGGATGCATCCAGGAGACCAATCCTATCAGTGCAAGCTGTGTGGGAAGGCCTTCTATTGCCACATATCCTTACAGAAGCACATGAGAAGGCACACGGCGGAGAAACTGTATGAGTGCAAGCAGTGCGGGAAAGCGTTCAGTTGGCCCGAACTCCTGCAGCAGCACGTGAGAACACACACTGTGGAGAAACCCTATGAGTGTAAGGAGTGCGGGAAGGTCTTCAAATGGCCATCGTCCTTGCCAATACATATGAGAGTGCACACTGGAGAGAAACCCTATGAATGTAAGGAGTGCGGGAAGGCCTTCAGTTGTTCCTCATCCTTAAGAAGACACGTAAGAATACATGCTACCGAGAGACACTACTTCTGTAATGCGGGAAATTCTGCAGATGAATTCATGCTCCGTGCTGCAGAAAACCCACACCAGGAGAGAAGTCTGATAAAAGTTGTAAATATGGTACTGCCTTTGTGAGAACTCCATCGAAGTGGACCCATGGGGCGTGCAGTTCCAGTTCCTTTACAGATAAAAAAATGAGGTGCAGAATAGCTCTCCAAGTACTCATTTAGCTATCTTACAAAAGTTTGCAGGTACTGCTTTTTTCCCTCTACGTTTTGGTAAATAAACCTTCTGTCTTTACAGCTTGTTGGACTCTTGGTGATTTGAAGTGTTGTTTTTTAATATGTAAGTAATTTTAATTTCTTAGTTCTATAAATTCTTTAAAGGGTCAATGATGCTTTGGTATTTCTTGGGATTTTCTTACTACTTTGGCTTGGTGGATCCTGGGTATCACCCATTACATATTTTCTGCCGTACTGAGAATTTATTTCTTTAATTTGGCCAGAGGAGCCTTACTGCATTTGCTTTACGAGTAGTTTGCAGAAATTGATAATTACTCCGAGTTCTTCAAAGCATAGTCTCGTATGAATGAATTGTCACTTTCGACTTTTCCCATTTGCTCCTTGCCCTTGCTTGTGATTGGAAATTGGCTTTTACTTCAGAGATACTCTGTGACCATGAGATATAAGACACAGGGTTTGAAGTGGTTCTTCTGGATTGTGTTATGTCAACGTGGGCGGCAGCGTTGGGAACTATATTTCCCAGAATCCCTTCCCTTTTGATTATGTGTTCAGATTTACCAATAGCCTAACTTGGCACAAGATTTGGAAGGCAGGAGTGGAGAAGCCATTTCTGTTGGGAGCCACATTAAAGTGTGATAGGTGCTAAGGGGCTTTTGGACATGAGTCCATTTTCCTGATTTTGGCCTTGCCAATCAGGAGTATTAATGCAAAAGAAATGCCATGTGATTGATTCCCATTTTTCTGAGTTGCAGACTTCCATGAATATCTTCCTGAGCTATGTATAAAGGACCCATTTGTGTGGTCCTGCACTCACAATTTGGATATTCCTACAAACTCTGATGTGTCCTCTAGACCAGTAAATTCAGACTCGTGGTTAGTGATCTTCTTTGATGCTATAATTCCGCTCTTCTCTAGATCTTCACATATGTGTATAAGGTCTTAATTTGTATAGTGAACACCTTATTTTCAATATTTCTAGTGACTCTGGGATCCTGATTCTGCCACAAGGGCTACAATGTTGCTACAAAGCAAAATAACACATGGGTTACATCTTAAAGTGTGCAGACTCATTCTTCTACATGAGAAAACATACCATTGTATACTAGATTTTGGGAGAGCTGAATGTTGTTCCTTGCTAAGGGTTTAACTGTTATGTATGATTATGTGTCATTAAAAACAGTATGTATTTTATCTTAAAGGAAAATTTGCTGTAGATATTTCCTAGAAATACACGACTTCTAGTGTTTTTATATCACCTGTGCAGTTACTGCATTACTTTCCTGGGACTGCTGTAACAAAGCACCACAGCTGGGTGACTTAGGACAACAGAAATTTTGGTCTGACAGTTCTGAAGGTAGAAGTCCAAGTTCAAAGTATCGGCCAGACCATGCTTCCCCTGAAGGTGCTAAGAAAGGGTCCTCTCCACCTGTCTCCTAGCTTTCGGTAGTTCATTGGCATGTGGCGATACAAGTGATCTTCACCCTGCGTTCTGCCCGTATGCGTGCTTCTCTCTTCATGTGGCATTATTTTTATAAGGACCACACATATCAAGTTAGGCTCATCCTATTCCAGAAATCACCTCCTCTATATCGGTGATAACTCTGTTTCTAAATAAGGTCACCACATTCTGACGTGCTGGAGTTAGGACTTTAACATACGGATTTTGGTGGACTATTCAACCCATAACTCTACCAAATGCTACACTCTCTTCCATTTACTGAGAGAACAGATTAAAATATTCCATTGCAATTATACATTCCAAGTCAACTATAATTTTGGTAAGCATTATACATTCCAAGTCAGCATTTCCAGGCACATACAACCTACGGTATTTTTGTCATGTAAATTTTATTTTTACTGTTGCATAAGCATTTGCTATTAAACTGATTTCTTACGCATTGCTAATAAAACCCTAACTAATTGTTTTGTCAAGCTTTCTAACTCAAACGACTGGGAACACACTGGTAGTCAATGAAAACTGGGTGCAGTGAATTCAGGCAATTTGAGTAAACACATGGACAGTGGGATGTATCAGTCAGAGGGTGTTTGGAAGGATATATTTACAGATATTTCTGTAGAAGGCAGAAATAATTGAATTTAGCTAACTAAAACAAATTGGTAGAGCAGTCATTGAGAAGAAGGGAAGTTTTTTTTTTTTTTTAATCTTTTTAACGTTTATTCACCTTTGAGAGATAGACACAATGTGTGCAGGGGAAGGAAAAGTTTTAATTTTAATTCCAGTTAACATAGTGTTATGTTAGTTTCAGGTATACAATATAGTGATTCAACACTTCATACAGCACACAGTGCTAATTCCAAGTGCATTCTTAATCCCCATCACCTATTAAATTCATCCCCTACTCCATCCCTTCCGGTAGCCACCAGTTCTCCATAATTTAGTCTGTTTCTTGATTTGTCTCTTTTTCCCCCCTCACTTTTGCTGGTTTTGTTTCATAAATTCCACATATGAGTGAAACCATATGGCATTTGTCTTTCTCTGATTTCACTTAGCATAATATTCCAGCTTCATCCTTATTGCAAACGGCAAAATTTCATTCTTTTTTATGGCTGAATGATCCATTTGTGTGTGTGTGTATGTGTGTGTGTGTGTGTATCTTCACATCTTTATCCATTCATCTATCAATGGACACTTGAGCTGCTTCCATATCTTGGTTATTGTAAATAATGTTTTTGTAAACATTGGGTGCATATATCCCTTTGAATTAGTGTGCTTACATTCTTCAGGTAAATACCCAGTAATGTGATTGCTGGATCATAAGGTAGTTCTATTTTGAATTTTTTGAGGAACCTCCATATTGTTTTCCACAGTGGCTGCACCAGTTTGTATTTCCAAAGACTGTGCACAAGTGTTCCTTTCTCTCCACATCCTTGCCAACATTTGTTTTTTCTTGCGTTGTTGATTGTAGCCATTCTGACAGGTGTAAGATGATACCTCATTGTAATTTTGATTTGCATTTCCCTGATGATGAGGGATGATAAGCATCTTTTCATGTGTCTGTTGGCCATGTGTAGGCCTTCTTTGGAGAAATGTCTGTTCATGTCTTCTGCCCATTTTTTGATTGGATTTTTTGGGTGGTTTTTTTTTCGGTATTGAGGGGTTTTTTTTGGTTTTTTAATTTTATGTCTTTTTTTCTTTGAGAGAGAGAGTATGAGCGGGGGAGGGAAAGAGAGAGAGGGAGACACAGAATTCAAAGCAGGCTCCAGGCTCTGAGCTGTCAGCACAGAGCCCAACGCGGGGCTTGAACCCACAGACTGTGAGATCATGACCTAAGCCAAAGTCGGACGCTTAACCGACTGAGCCACCCAGGCGTCCCTTATATGTTATTTATATATTTTAGGTACTAACCTTTTATTGAATATGTTGTCTTTTAGTTTTTAAATTTTTTTTAAAAACTTACTTATTTTTGAGAGAGAGCCGGCAAGAGGTAGAGAGAGAGGGAGACACAGAATCTGAAGCAGACTCCAGGCTCTGAGCTGTCAGCACAGAGCCTGATGCGGGGCTTGAACTCACGAACTGTGAGATCATGACCTGAGTCAAAGTTGGACGCTTAACTCCAAGCCACCCAGGTGCCCCACCTTTTAGTTTTGTTGATTATTTCCTTTGGTGTGCAGAGGCTTTTATACTGATGTAGTCCCAATAGTCTATTTTTGGGTTTGTTTCCCTTACCTCAGGAGATCTATCTAGAAAAAAATTTTCTATGGCCAGTGTCAAAGAGGTTATTGCCTGTGTTCTTTTCCAGGTTTTTTATGGTTTGGGGTCTCATGCTTTGGTCTTTAATCCATTTTGAATTTATTTTTGTATATGGTTTAAGCAAGTGGTACAGTTTCTTTCTTTTGCATATTGCTGTCCAGTTTTCCCAACAACATTTGTTGAAAATAGTATCTTTTTCTCATTGGATATTCTTTCCTGCTTTGTCAAAGATTAATTGACCATATAGTTGTGGTTTTATTTCTGGGCTTTCTATTGTGTTCCATTGATCTGTGTGTCTATTTTTGTGCCAGTACCATACTGCTTTGATTACTACAGCTTTGTAATATAACTTGAAGTCTGGAGTTGTGATTCCCTTCAGCTTTGCTTCTCTTTTTTAAGACTGCTTTAGCTCCGGATCTTTTATGGTTCCATATAAACTTTAGAATTGTTTGTTCTAGTTCTGTGGAAAATATTGTTGGTATTTTGATAGCGAGTGCATTAAATATGCAGATTGCTTTGGGTAGTATAGACATTTAACAGTTCTTCCAGTTTATGAGCATGAAATGTCTTTCCTTTTTTTCCTTTTTTTAAGTTTTTAAAATTTATTTCTGAGAGAGAGAGACAGTGTGAACAGGGGAGGGTCAGAGAGGAGGGAGACACAGAATCTGAAACAGGCTCCAGGCTCTGAGCTGTCAGCACAGAGCCCGACGTGGGGCTGGAACCCACAAACTGTGAGATCATGACCTGAACCGAAGTCGGACGCTTAACCAACTGAGCCACCCAGGCGCCCCTGTCTCTCCATTTCTTTGTGTCATCTTTAATTTCTTTCATCAGTGTTTTATTTATTGACTTTTACTTTTTTAAAATAGGCTTCATTCCCTACTCTATGACCCAACATAGTGATCAAACTCATGACCCTGAGATCAAGAGTCACATGCTGTACAAAGCCATTCAGGTGCCCCTTATCAGTGTTTTATAGTTTTCAGAGTACAGGTGTTTCATCTCTTTGATTAGGTTTATTCCTAAGTATATTATTTTTGGTGCAATTGTAAATGGGATTGTTCTGTTAATTTCTCTTTTCCTCCAGTAATGGTGTATAGAAATGCCATCAATATCTGCACATTGATTTTGGATCCTGCAACTTTACTGAATTCGTTTATCAGTTCCAACAATTTTTCGTGGAGTCTTTCAGGTTTTCTATATATAGTATTATGTCATATCCAAATAGTGAAAGTTTTACTTCAAGAAGAGGGGAATGTCTTATCAGTTTTGTGGTTTGGTGGTGACCTTCGGAACATAAAGTATCAATTTG